AGCCCTTTATCTCGGTTCCCTTAAGACATTGGTGTATATGGTACTAAGAAAAATTGCTTATGTTTTCAAGATCTACACGTCGTGTAAAGGAAAACCCCAACTTTGCGGACACCCTGTATAGTATATCTCAAAACGCAAAATGTACCTTATCTCAAACATTTCAAATCGAGCACCCTGTATATTTCTGCAACATTAAATAGCTTTCATTTGGAACTCTTTTTGATACATGGTTTATACCACTTTTTCACAGTTTTCAAGTTATTGCGAGCAAGGGTGGTTTTTTGACATTATATAGGTTTCTTTACATAAAAACCCCGCGCATTTATTCCCAAACAAATAAATAGACTTTCTTCTATTATACCTAAAAACCCTCAATCGAGTTACCTTCCAATATATCAAATACACTAAGCCCAGTAGATTAATAAAATAAGCCCTATCATAACATGCATTATATCAAAGCTGCTAGAACGTTTCACAGCCTACTTTGTACGTGTCGAGGCATCAATTGGCGATAAATCTCGTATTCAATATTCGATAAAACTGATATAAAGTGCATCCATATATATTTCAGCGATAATGAATTTTAAATCGGATACCGAAAATCCCTTTTTATTTGACTAGTTCCAAGCTGTATGGAGCAGCTCAATCAATCGAATGGAATTTTTCCACCACAAGTACATTTAAATTATGAAACTTTAAGTTAAATATGCTAATAAAGGAAGTATATCTAATATAACTAAGGATATAGTAAGTTATCCGCTGTAAAGTAGCTGGCCATTTTTGTATTCACTTTATCTCCAAAAAAATCTATCTTTGTATAAACATTAACTGTTTAGTTTGAAATTACTCTTTATGTATATGTTTAGATAGTTTTCAGCTTTTCCAGCATGATTTCAATATTTTTTGCAACCACAAAAATATTTTAACTTTGCAATGATTCCAGGGATTTCTCTGAAATTTTTTTTTCTATTGAATACCTTAGAAATAGTACACATCCGGTTTTTCAGCAAACAACATTTTAGCCCAGATATATTTGCCCTTCCCTCAAGGTTGAACACCCAAAGTAAAATTTGGCAACAAACATCAAGTAAAACACTCCTTCGACACAGCGGTTTGTATGCAAACAAAATAATAACCGTTCAACTGGGAAGGGTGTTCATTAAGGTTTAACTTTACCCCATAATTAATTTTGCAGATAACACGAAGAACGCAATTAAGGAAAACGTATATTCCAGGCCAAAAGTGCGTAGAAGGCCGCAGATACCGATGACAGTTGAGAACTCGCTACGCATTGCAAAGACGTGTACATACGGGGTGGCGCATCGAAAACGAAACAGACGCATTTACTGGCAGACCTGTCGATTTTGTTTTCGAGGGGGACACAGGTTTGGCAAAAATCACGTTAGCACGTGCAGCCCCCTAAGCGGGGGTGATACCACCCCCAAAATCTTAAATGGAAAGGGGGGTCGAGTGATACCTTATTTTAAAGGTCTTTCAATTCCCTTTATGATGATAAAATTAATGTACTTCAGTTCAGTAGGTGGTTTTGAAGATTTAATCATTTAAAGCTTAAAGTAGACTTTAATAGAGTACATCAGATTAGTTTGTACTACTTTCAGAAGAAATTTGACTAAAAGAATTTACTTAATAAGTAAATGCTTTTCTTCACTACGCTCATGGTTTGTTTATCATTTTGTTGTTGAAAATAGCTATTGGAGCTTTTCTGTGTGGCAAAAAAGTTATTTCTTGAAGAACTTGTGTCCCCCTAGAAAAAAAATCGACGGGTCTGAGCGTTTTTCCAAAAAAAAACTGAGCTGCCGGTAAATGCGTCTGTTTCGTTTTCGATGCGCCATATGTTATCTGTGTTACCGTTTCGTTTAATTTCCTGCAAGATGGTGTTTGTCAGAAAATCATTCGAGGTAAAATGAGTTTGATGCTGAGAGAGATTTTATATTTTAGGTCAGAAACCATCTACGACTGGAACACTTTTTTATGAACGTCAATCATATCACTAACTAAAATATGTAAATTCTTTCATTTTTCAACGTAGTCACCAGACACATTTAAGCATTTGTCAAGTCATCCCGAGAACTTTGAACTTACATCACGGCAAAAAACATGTAGAACATTTTTGAGGGCAGAAACATGAAACGGTATAAAGCTCTGATTCGGAATATGACTTTTTCTCTATTTACCAGTTAATCAAAACACCTGCTATCTGCGTGTTTATAACAAGATTAACAATTCCCAGTATTCATGTTTTCACAGTTTTACTTGATAGCGTCTGGCATGTTAATATTTGAAGTGTCTACATTTGAAGGCTTCGTCTGGAACTTGAACTTGATTGATTTGGAATCCAAACGTTGAACAATTCGATGAATATCAAGTAGACGTCAAAATTCTTATAATCTCTACGCGGGTGATGAGGAAATATTGTAATCGCGGAAATTTTTTAAAATGAGATTTGATATACTAAGTGACATATAAATCCGAACACCAGTTTTAATGGTTTTATTTTAATAAAATTTTGTATAAGTACTTAATGAAGCATAATAAGTAAATGATAAAAATTTCAAAATGATTGCACTGCTTTAAAGCCCTTTGAACTTTAATAATGTGTGGATGCACCCTGATGTGCTATGCATTCTCCAACGCGCCTAGGCATGCTTCTGATCAGGTGGTCAATGTCCTCCTGTGGTATCTCATTCTAGGCAACCACCAACTCCCCTCGAAGTGCTTCTAGAGTCTGAGAAGGACGTTGCAAATTGAGCAATCTCCTACCCGTCATATCCCACACGTGCTCAATTGGGGATAAGTCGGGAGATCTTGGTGGCCATGGTAACAATGTGACATCATTATATTGAAAGAAGTCTATTGTGACTCTTGCAACATGTGGTCGGGCATTATCTTGTTGGAAAGTTGGATCTGCCAGGGTGTCAAGATAGGGTAAAAGATGGGGTTCTAGAACTTCGTGGATATAACGCTGCGCGTTCATGTTACCTCTGATGAAGATTAAAGGTGACCTGGAACCATAAGCTATAGCAACTCCAACAGTGTGATGAACATGTCTTTCAACAAAAAACTGTGGATTCCTCCTTTCACCACGTCGCCTTCTAACCCTGACACGACCATCGTGCATGCCTAAACAAAATCGAGACTCGTCACTAAAGACAATACTGTTCCATTCCTGATCCCAGAGTGACCGTTGTCTACACCACTCAAGGCGATTACGTCGGTGTTCTCGAGTTAAAGGGAGGACCCAGTGTGGCCGGTATGAAAACAAGCCAAAACTTCTCATTCGTCGGTAAAACACTTCGCATGCCAATAGGTCTTCCGTGTTCTGCAAACCATTCATTTGCAATGGACCTGGTAGTGGAGAAACGGTCCCTTAAGGCCAATAATCTTAGGCGGCGATCTTCACGGTCTGTTGTTCTACGGCGGTGTCCAGTGCCTCTTGCTCTTTGCGTACGGCCTTCTCGAAGCTATGCCTGACAACACCTAACTACAGTGTCTACACTTCTTTGCACTCTAACTGCAATTGGCCGAAAAGAAAGTCCAGCTTCCCGAAGTCCCACTATACGGCCCCTATCAAACTCACTAAGTTGACGAAATCGTACAAGTCTCCGTACTCTAGGCATCGTAATCGATCGAAAAGGATGTCAAGAACCAAAATCCGCCAACGTTGATTCTTTACTGCGGCTGAAATATTCATTTTTAGAGCGTTAGTGAATTAAAAAAAAGCAGTATAAAAACCGGAATGTCCAACTGATAAGGCTGAAAATTTGTTCACTTGTTATTTACAGTAAGATAAATACATTCACCAACTTTATTAAAATAAAACCATTTAAACTGGGTGTTCGGATTTATGTCACTTAGTATATAACATTAAGAAGCTAATTTAGCTTTAATTAAATTTATTAATTCCAGTGGCGTTTTGATCAGCACGTGAACAAACCTTTGTGACAAAAAAAAAATATACGCTACTGACTTTTGTGCAATTTCTATTATTCGTTTTGGTCTAAGCAAATGAAAATACAACTTGAATTTCTTTTGTATCCTGTTCAGTTTTCGAGAAAAACAGGTCCACTTAATTGCATATCCCTGGACGACACAAGAAATATGGGGAAAAGTTCCTTTTGGAAATTATTATTTCAGTATAATTAATTATTACTAATTATATAACAAATAAACACCAAACTAAATTACATCAAATTAACATCTAAACTGATGAATTTTACCAAAGAATATGCGGA